CAAGTGTCACATGTCAAAGCCGAGACCTGCGCATTCATTCCTCACTGGGTGGGGAGAAAAGCCTGACTGGTAAAGGGTTCGAGAGACAGTGAGAGAAGAATTGGCAACAGCAAGCGTAAATGACTCCTTTGAGTTTTTCTATGAAGGGGAACAGAGAAATAGGGTAGGTATCAGGAGATTGCATACTTTGATTTTTGTGTTGTTTTTACCATAAGAGGAATCGCAGCAAGAGCGTGTGCTAACAGGACTGATTCAGCAGTGAGGGGAAATCGTATGAGGCAGAGCGTGAGGACAGGAAGAGGTTCTTGCAGCGGCAATAAGGAATGAAGTCTAGCACACTAGTGTAGGGGGCGGCCTTAGAACAGTGGCTTTCCACCTGGGGCCGGCAGGTGGTGTGGTGGTTAAAAGCCCTGGACTCTTGCATGGCCAACCATAGTTTGAGTCCCAGACCTGGTGGCTTGCTTTCTCACTTTCTCTTTCTCTCGTGTTCTCGCTGTCTCTCTCTGATGAAGCTGGAAAATAATAATAATAAATAAAATTAAACAACATAAATAATTATTTTAAAAAAAGAACAATGGCTTTCCAGTAGTAACATGGGAGGAGCATATGCCAATTTTTATAATAGATGTGGTGTAGATCAGCCGATACGGTGGAGGGGCTATGTGGACATCCTGAATGAACTCATAAGCCAGGACAATGGGAATGGAATTGTGTCAGAGTAATTGTGTTGCAAGAGTTTATAATGCTAAAGTCGTGTCTATTCTTTTGTTGCTCAAACAGCATAGTCATCCAGCACCTTCTTTAAAAGAGTTTAAGAGAACATTGGTCATGGGTTTGGATCTCATGTGAGATGGTTAGATTTGCTCTGTTAAGGCAATAAGTCATAACCTAGAGTCAGCTGTCCTGAACATGCCGCCTGGGGTCACAAGACAGATGAATCTGAGGAAACCCACTAACACTGCAGAAAAGCTATTTAGCCATGCCCCGTCCCGCTGATGTGTCCCCAATAACAACTTCCAATAGAAGCAACCACACAGAGCTATCGACGATCAGGCGTTTGTTTTATTTTCATGTTCTGTGGGATGTTGCAAAGCGACGTTTCCCTGTCAACCCTCTGCAAACCGTTGACAGATCCAAAAGCGTGGCAGTCAGCCTAAGCTGGGACAACAGTACTGGGAGGACAGCGTAACACAGTGGAGGGAAAAGACGAGGGAGTCAGGAGGACATCCGTCTGGCCTCAGAGGGAAACCCAGTTCACCCAGCTGGCCTTCACACGAAAGCACAACTTGTGAAAGGGATGGAGGGGAAGCAGGGGACCTGGGCAGCACCATGAGATCAGGAAGTGGTGTAAGAACGAGGCCCAGCATCGTGAGGACCCGCTGGGCTTCAGGTCCACTGTGATGTCACATGCCACCTCTGACCCACTCCCCCCACTCTGTGACCTTGGGCAGGTGTCTTACAGTTTGTTTTGTTTTTTAAATTTTACTAGAGCGTGTGTTCTCTCACAGAGGGGAGAGAGGGAGAGAGAAAGTATTCGCCCATCGGGGATGGTCACAACACAATTCCTTTTCCTTTGGGGATTTTGGGCACGTGTGCACGTGCACCTGGCACGTTTTTCAAGCTGCCAGGTGCAGGACTCAGCTGCACAGCCAGCCATGTGGGATCCAGCCATCTTAACCCCCACACCACCAGCTAGCCCCTTCTTACTAGTTGCAAGTGTATTTCTTCAAAGTACAGTGGGAACAATCGCTCCTTCAGCTCATAAAGATGAAAAGAGATGATGTAATAGGACCAGCAGTTAGCGTAATGGCTATGTCACTGGACTCCCACGTAGTCAACCGTGGTTCGCGTCCTGAACCCGGTGGCTTAAAACTCACGCTGGGTTCGTGTGCGTGCGTGCCCAAGATCCCGAGAGGAGAATGGAGGAGAAGGGATTGTGGCGTGACCATCCCCCCTGGGGGGTGATTTCTCGCTTTCTGTCTCTTTGTCTCTCTCTGTCTGGCGAGTGCACGCGCCCTATAGAGAAAAAATCTTCTCAAAATAAATAAATAAATGAGTGGATAAATAAATAATTAAAAAATTTTTTTTGTTTAGTTCTAAGTTACTGATTTTCTCTTTTCTGGTTTAGGCTTTTCTGTGTTTTACCTAAGACATACTTGTCTAACCCAAGATTGTGAAATTTCTTCTTCTTTGTTTTTTTACAGAAGTTGTATATTTTGACATACACTTGGGTCTACGATCTGTTTCAATTTAATTTTTGTGTATGGCATGAGGTAAGAGTTGAGGTTCATATAAAGCTCTTTTTAAAAGTAAACTAGTAAGAGAAGACAGGTGGCATAGTGGTTAAGACATTGGACTCCCACGTGGCTGATTGCTGTTCAAGTTCCGAACCTGATGGCTTGCTTTCTCTCTCTTGCCTCTCTCTGATAAAATGGAATCATGATAACAAACATAAATACAACTAAAAGAATAATTTTTTTAATTAAAAAGAAGCAAACTAATAAACACTCAGTGAGGTGCGGTTTAAAAGACTGGGTCACAGATCAAATCAGAAAGGACTCCCCAATGTCCCATTGCTTAAGAGGTAATCGTAGCACGAAAGCCAGACTTGGTGGTTTGTGTGAATGTATTCCAGGTAGTAGTACCCACATACATACTTCCTGTTACATAGCAGGAAGTGATCTTAGTTCCCACCACTTAGTTCCGAATAACAAAATGAATTAAAACTAGAAGCAGCTGCGGTGGGTGGGGAGGGCGTTAATCTCAAAGAGATGAAAGGAAACCTGGACTCTTACCTGCCCCCAATAGAGACAAAGCCCCATGTGACATAGGCAGTTGCCTCTCAGATAAGATTTCATAAATCGGGACAGTTGGCATAATGGCTGTGTCCCTGGACTCCTCAAGTTCCAGACCCGGTGGCTTAAACTCACACCAGGCGCGTGTGCATGCGTGTGTGCCTAAGATCCCGAGAGGAGAATGGAAAAGGGATTGCGGCACGGCTATACCCCCTGGGGAGCGATTTCTCGCTTTCTATCTCTCTGTCTCTCTCTGTCTTTCTGGCTAGCGCACGTGCCCTATAGCCAAAACCTCTCCAAAAGAGAAAAAAAAGGTTTTTATAACTAAACTAAAACTACCTTGGCCTTGGCCAAAAGGACTTCCCTACTGACTTGTCCGGAGTTTCCTAATCCCCACTGTTAAGAATCACACCTTTTGGCCGCAGCCGCGGTGCCCGCCGCCGGAAGACGGCCCCATATATACTCTATGGAATACTACTCAGCCATAAAAAATAACAAGACCCTGGAATTTGATAGAAAATGGTCAGATATGGAGGATCTATTGCTGAGTGAAGTAAGCCAGGCTATGAAAGAAAGATATTGTATGTATCCACTCAATATATACCGACTATCCGCACTCTATAATAGAGAGCAAAAATTCGGAGGACATAAACACAGTGAAGGTACTTAATGAGAATAGGACAGTGTGGAATGGGGTAAGTGAAGAGAAGAGGATAGAGAAAGATAGCAAGTGAACAATAGAGAGACAGGACGTTAGTGAGAAACAGATAGGGCTTATTAACTGTTGATGATGACATGTATAGAATTCTCAACTGGATTGGTCTGAGAAGTGTTTCATGACGGGCAAAGTATTTTTACAAGCAAAACGAGAAATAGCAATTGACTGTTTTATAAAAATAATTAGAATAATAAAGATAATGATTGGGGAAAACAGAAAAGATATGGAATGTTGAAGTGGGGAGATTAATGTCTCTGTACTGACTGCATGGCATTCCCTTTTGAAGAAACAATGTAATACACTGTAAAGTTATATGTAATCCAATGTAATATGAAGAAGATATGATGATAAAAAATAAAAAAAATAAAAAAAAAAAAGAATCACACCTTTTGTGAGAATCCACATAGACTGAGAAGGAGGGCTCTGGATTCTCTCCCCCATCGCGTAATTTCGGATTTCGATTTCATTGTTGTACATCTTTGTGGGGTACAGTGCCGCTTTTCAAAGCATAGATACAACGTGCGATCATAAAATCAAGGACATTAACGTATTTATCGGCTTAACCAAAAATATTTATGTTGTGTCCCTCTGATGTTCTGCCAGATTTTTTTTTTGATATATACATATATGATTGACAATGCCATTTTTTATTAGCCCTATCAACTGGGAAAGCTAAGGCAAGCCCGAAGGAGGTGGAGCTGGTGCTAAGGCAGGAAAAGGAAGGGTAGGAGGGTCTAGAGCAAGGTATGGGGTTCCCGTTCTGCAATCGGATTTGCTGATTTCAAAATTAGAACAGAGGGGGAACCAGCAGTTAGCGTAATGGCTATGTCGCTGGACTCCCACGTAGTCAACCGCGGTTCATGTCCTGGACCCGGTGGCTTAAAACTCACGCCGGGCGCATGTGCGTGCGTGCCCAAGATCCCAAGAGGAGAATGGAGGAGAAGGGATTGTGGCGTGACCATCCCCCCTGGGGGGTGATTTCTCGCTTTCTGTCTCTATGTCTCTCTCTGTCTGTCTGGCGAGCGTACGCGCCCTACAGTGAAAATCTCTCCAAAAAAAAAAAAAAATTAGAACAGAGGGCCAGCAGGCGGTGTGGTGGTAAAGGCACCAGACTCCCACATAGCCGACTGCAGTTCGAGTCCCAGACCTGGTGGTTTAAAACTCACTTTGGGTACATGGGCATAGAGGAGAAGGGCTTTCAGAGTGACCATCCCCCTTGGAGGCGGGGGGGTGATTTCTCACTTTCTATTTCTCTGTCTCTCTGGTAAGCACAAGCGCCCTATAGCAAAAATTTCTCAAAAAAATAAAATAAAATAAAAATTAGAACAGTGAGAGTCTGCCACGAAGCAGCAAATATACACCATCCTGGTCATCATCCCTAATTGAATACCTGCTCCCTGTATAGAGCATTACCCTTTGGCTGAGTGTCCAGACAGAACTCCCCCAAATAAGACACAGATGATGTTTAGAGATAAATATATACAGTTTATTCATTAAAATAGGGACAAAGTGTCTGTAACTCTGGGAAGTTGTTACTTCATCGGAGTTGTTTATTTAAAAGTAGAAGTCCGGTGTTGGCAATAGTTCTTGCAACTGTCAGGAAAACTAGACAGGTTTCACAACATGGAGTGTCCTTTTGGTCAACAGTATTGCCTCAGGAGGGAGAACATTTCACAGATCTTTCCTGCGATTTCCAGAAACATCAGCCAGCCAGATTTAGATTCAAACTTCTTTACAAAGCCATTTTCCTATGAGAGAATACATTGTAACATGTTTAAATTCAACTGAGACTACATTTTCTGGAATAACAAGCAAAGAAAGTTTTATTTAAATCATGCAAGTAGTTCATCTTTGTACTTTCTTGTCTCGTATTCTGTTGATCGTCATTTTCTACCTCCAACTCTAGACCTCTCTAGAACAAGCCATCCAAAAGAAACACAATGTGAGCTCCATCTGTAATTGTAATGTTTTTGTAGCCACACTTTAAAAAGTAAAAAGACATAGACAAAAATCAATGTTTAAAATGTAGTGAATGTAATATATCCAAATGTTATTATTTCAACATGTAATCAGTATAAAAATCATTTCTGAAATATTTCATTCCCTTTTTATGTCAAATCTTCAAAATACAATGAGTATTTTTTTTAAAAAAGAGATTTTGCTATAGGGCACGTGCACTCGCCTAAAAGACAGAAAGACAGAAAGCAAGAACTCATTCCCCACGGAGATGCAGCTTCTCCTCCTCCATTCTCCTCTTGGGATGTTGGGCACGCATGTACACGTGCTGAGTCCGAGTTTTAAGCTTGAGTCCTAGCCAGAGGGTCTAGGACTCGAACTGTGGTCAGCTATGTGGGAGTCCAGCGATGTAACCATTACTCCATCTGCTAGTCCCACAGTGAGTGTTTAGTACGTACAGCACATCAGGCTAGCCACCTTTCAACTGCTCTGTAGCCACAGTGACCAGTGGCCCTTGTGCTTCATGGCAAGCACAGCTCTAGAAAGAAAGTCTAATTCTCTTCTCTTCCTTTCTCTGTCAGTCGTTTAGCATCGACACGTACATTTATGTCAGCAAACTGCATCGTATTGGGAATCAGGAGAACTCACAGTAAATCCACATTAAACCAATGCCTTAGAACCTACGAAAAGGTTAATGATTATTTCTAATATGATTCATTTCCTTTGTGCTCAGATATAATTTTATTTGGGGGGAGCAGTTTTTGCTATAGGGCACGTGCACTCACCAGAAAGACAGAGAGAGAGACAGAAAGAGAGAAATCATCTCCCCAGGGGGATGGCCATGCTGCAATCCCCTCTCCTCCAGTCTCCTCTCGGGATCTTGGGCACGCACACACACGCATGCGCCCATCATGATTTTAAGCCACCAGGTCCAGGATTTGTTCCGCAGTTGACTCATGGGAGTCTAGCAACATAGCCATTACGCCAACTGCTGGTCCCCAGATACAATTTTTTTTAAAATAGGATGACCCAGTAAACTCAACAGTGTGTATTAACTAATTTGCAATCTGTAATTATAAACCTCTTCACTGAAAAGTACCTCTAAAACTAGTGCCTTTCTTATTTTAATAAAATGAGTTTCTAGGCAGAACCCCCCCAAAATAAGACAAATGGGGAAACCAAGACCCAGGAGAAACACAAGTTATCTAAGGTCACCCAGTTCCTAGGTGCTAGGACCTAGGCTGCAATTCACATATTTCACTTCTTTCTATTCCATACATTTTTAAAAGAGTTATTTATTTAATTCTAGTTATCATTATTATTATTTTAATTTGCTAATTATATGCATGTGAGCAAGAGATAATGTGGAAGCAAGCCACTAGGTCCGGAGCTTGATCCCTGGTGGGCCCTGTGGGTGTCCAGTGCCTTAACCCCCACACCATCTGCTGACCCTCCACTCTATATATTTTTAAATAAGCACCAAAAGGATCTAATATTGCTAAAATATTTTCTCTTTTAACAATTATTTTTATTTAATTTTATGATTATTATTATTTAATTTGACCAGAGAGAGACAGAGAGGGAAAGTGAGAAAGCAAGCCACCAGGTCCGGGACTTGAACCACTGTTGGCCAAGTGGGAGTCCAGCACCCTTAACCACCATGCCACCTGCTGGCCCCTAAAATAAATTTTAAAGATGTCCCTGTAGCAAACATTAGCTCTGCATCTTGCAAGTTCCAGATCTAGGGTCACAAATGCCTTCCAGTGGTTCACAGCCCAGCGTGACTCATTCTGAAAAGCAAGTTGAGAATGTCTGTGTAACGGTTGGAAAGGACACGAAAACGCTGCAGTGCCTTGGAATCCTCTTTAGGAGCCTCACTGGCAGGACAGATCAGCCCCTGTCGGGAGAGTCTTTCATCTGAGAGATGGCCTGAGGAAGCCAGCTTCCGCTTGCATGTGAAGTGCAGGGTCATGCCCTGAGACATGGCGTCATGGCCTGACAGACAGGAAATTGCTACTCCTCTCTCTTCCTCTTCCCCTCCTATCCTTACATACTCATGTATTTCCTGTGTACCCTTCCACTGCTCACCTTCCTAGAATTTTCATAACCCCCCTATTGGGCCCGTATAATGAGGCCCTCTCAATGGATTTTTTATTGTTACAGGGATCATTGTCTACTGTGGTTGAGCAGTTAACGCGTCATCATCTTACATACAACTTCTGAAGTTCAAAGAGCCAACAAAACCCTGATAAATTCAACTATGTGAAGATAAAGTTTTCTTAAAGACTATATTTTTAAAAAAAGAACCACAGACTTGGAAAATATTTACATTTACCACAAAAGAGTTCATTCAGATACAAGAGAATATCAGCAAACTTTTTTTTTTTCCTTTGCCATAGGGTGGACTCATTCTCTGGAGAGACAAAGAGAGATCACTTTCCCTTTCTCTCTGTCTCTCTCTCTGGTGAGCCCGCATGCCCTATGGCAAATAGAATCTTAAAAAAAAAAAATAAGGGAACAGCTACTGAAAAGAGAAATACAAATCATTAACAAGTCTATGGGCAAAAATGCAAAGTTACTAGTAGTTACAGAACTTTACGTTTTAACATAATTATTACATTTTAAGCCTATTAAGCCTTCAAAATTATTTTTAATATTATCACTCAATATTGACAAGATTGTTATGACATTGTTCCATTAATACAACAATTATTTTAGGAAACAACATGCATTTCAACATGTATGAGTAGTAGTACAGTTATATATATATTTTAAAATATTTATTCAACTTTATCGATTATTATTACTTTTTAATTCGCTACAGTGCACATGTGCTTGCCAGAGAGAGATGGGAGAGAGAGAGAAAGTGAGAAAGCAAGCCACAAGGTCCAGGAATTGAACCAAGGTCAGTCATGTGTGTGAGTCCAACTCCTTAGCTACTCTACCACCTGCTGGCCCCAGTACAATTTATATCTTATGAATCACTGTTAGAAATGTATTATGAAGCAGTCTTCTTAAATATCGTGGGGTGAGAGTCCCGGAGAGAAACATATTTTTGCTCAGTACTGACACACAGCTTCTAAGAGGGGAAAATGTCTTAACTACTAGCAATTGGTTAAGCAAATTATGATACATCGAATTAGTGGAATATTCCATAAATATTAAAAATGTTAACATGGAATATGTGAGGCATTGTTGAAAATATTCATAATGTTACATAGGAAAACTCTTATGTATACCCTGATTGTAATTGCATATTTCTGGGAACATTGATACTTTGTTAAATGCAGCTATCTGGTTTCAAGAAAGACTTTTAATTTGGTTTCAAGAAAGACTAAAGCACAAAGGAATATACTGTATCAATAATCCAAGGGAAAGCAGAGCCTGAGAATTTTTTTAAAGCTCTGGGCAGATACCATGAAGTTATTCCTACTTCTCTAGATTCATTCATTCATTCAATAAATATTTACTGAGCACTGACCAGATGCCAGGTACATTGAAAACACTGGAAACACCTTGGTGAATCAGAGCTGCCCTCCCTAAGCTTCACTTCCCACTGCAGAGACAGACAGTAAACTGATAAGCAAATATGTAAAGCGATATCCAGTAATAAAAACTGTTATAAGGAAATACAGCAGAGTATGGGGATAGTATGTGGCAGCAGGTGGGGTGATCAAGGAAGACTTCTCTGAGGAAGCAACCTGGGAGTGGAGACCTGAGTGTAGGCAAAAAGAGAACCATGCAGACTTCCAGGGGGCGAGGGGGGGGGTTATTCCAGGCAGAAGCAGCAGCAAGTGCAGAGGCCCTTAAGCCAGAGTGGGCTGAGCTCACTCAGCTGTGAGAACACAGGGAGATTCATAGAATTTGGGAGTCAAGAGGTAAGGAGAGGGGCCAGCAGGTGGCGTTGTGATTAAAGGTGCTGAACTCCCACAGAGCTGACTGCGGTTCAAGTCCTGGGCCTGGTGCCTTGCTTTCTCACTTTCTCTCTCTCTTTCTGGTGAAGCTGGAAAATAGTAATAATAATTAACAGACAGTTAAAATAACTCTTTTTTTAAAAAAAGAGGTAAGGAGAGGCCAGGTGACACAGGACTGAAGACTAAAGAACGTGACCATCTGGCTTGGTAGTTTTTGCTCCCAGGGTGAAGGGCCGTCTTGGGAAGGTTTTGATTAGGCCAGGACATGATCTCATTCAGGGTCCTAAAAATATCATTCTAGGAGCCAGGAGGTGGCGTGGTGGTTAAGGTGCTGGATTCCCACATGACTATGGTTTGAATCCTAGACCTGGTGGCTTGCTGTTTTGCTTTCCCCTTTTCTCTCTGTCTGTCTCCCTCTGTTCAAGTTATAATAATAACAATTTGAATCCTAGACCCAGTGGCTTAAAACTCATGCCGGGCACGTGTGTGTGTGTGTGTGTGTGTGTGTGTGTGTGTGCGCGCGCGTGCATGCCCAAAATCCCAAGAGGATAATGGAGGAGAAGGGATTGTGGCAAGGTGCCCCCGCTGGGGGATGATTTAAAAAAAAAAAATATATATATATACATATATATACATATATACATGTGTATATATATGTATATATATGTATATATACATATATATGTATATATATACATACACACACACACACACACATACATAATAGAAATAAATAAATAATTGTTTGGAGAGGTTTTTGCTACAGGGCATGTGCGTTTGCCAGAAAGACAGAGAGAGACAGAGAGACAGAAAGCAAGAAATCGCCCCCCTCTCAGGGGGGATGGCCACGCCGCAATCCCTTCTCCTCCATTCTCCTCTCGGAATCTTGGGCATGCACGCACACGCGCCCGTTATGAATTTAAGCCACCAAGTTCAGGACTCGAACCACAGTCAACTACATGAGAGTCCACCGACATAGCCATTACACCACTGCTGGTCCCATAAATACTTATTTTTAAGAATACGTCATTCTGGTGGCGACCTGGAGAACAGACTGTAACTGGTGAAGGATGGAGACGGCAAGACCATGCAGCCACATGAATGAGGCTGATGGCCTAGGTGCCCCTGGTAGAGAGCCTTGTGAAGGTGTGCCCCCCAGGATCGGCCGATGGACTGGAGGCGGGCTGACAAGGAAAGGGGGCCCAGCTGACTCCAAGGCTAGAGAGTCAGCACTTACAGAACTTTCCGGAAAGGCCCGCAGGGAGAAGTGTGTGTCTCCAACTCCTCTGTCAGTATCACACATTTCTGCACGACTTGAATTATGTCGCATGTATTTTTCATTAAATGATTTTCAGATCTCAAGTTAAAGTCTAGAAGAAATGTAAGAAGAATTTAGCCCCAACATCTGTTTCATCAAAGGATACAAACAAATCCAAAGACTCCCGCCCGGCCGCTAGATCCTTACACCTTTGGGAGATGTCTTTGCCAAACTGAATTGTCTATAAGTCTCTGAGAGTCCGTTTCTTTGCTCTCAAATTGACCAGACTATTAGTGCAAAAGGATTAAGCATAAAAGAAAGGAGGCCAGAAGGTGGCGTAGTGGTTCAGGGCTGTACTCTCACTGTCCATGGTTCAAGTCCCGGACCTGGGACTTGACACACACAGCACATGTGCGTGTGTGCCCAAAATCCAAGGAAGAGAGACGACTGCGGTGACTTTTCACTTTCCCTTACACTGTCTCTCTCTCTCTCTCTCTGGCGAGTGCACATGCCCTATGGCAATAAATAAATAAATAAATAAATAAGGAAAGAAAACAAAAAATAAAGAAGAAAAAAAAACCTTTTGGGTCGAACTCTTTTTTTTTTTTTTTGGAGAGGTTTTTGCTATAGGGCGCGTGCGTTCGCCAGAGAGAGACAGAGACACAAAGCGAGAAATCACCCCCCAGGGGGGATGGTCACGCCGTAATCCCTTCTCCTCCATTCTCCTCTCGGGATCTTGGGCATGCACACACACGCACCCAGCGTGAGTTTTAAGCCACCGGGTCCAGGACGCGAACTGCGGTCAACTACGTGGGAGTCCAGCGACATAGCCATTACGTTAACTGCTGGTTCCGTTGGTTGAACTCTTATGACCAAGGCTTTACTATGCTGGTTATTTGGAAATATCACCAGTTCTGACGTATGCCCTACCTTTAAAGGGACTTTCTTTTGGTATTAAGAGTATTTCTAAGAATTGTAGATTTTATGGGCCAGCAGGTGGCGTGGTGGTTACGGTGATGCACTCCCACATGGCCGACTGTGGTTAGAGTCTAGGGCCTAGAGGCTTGGCTTCTTATTTTCTGTCTCTTTCTCCTCTCTCTCCCCATCTGTGTCTCTCTCTGGTGAGCATATGTGCCCTGCTGCAATTTAAAAAAAAATAATAATGATAAATAATTTTTTTCTTAGAGATTTTTCCTTTAGGGTACATGCACTGACCAGAGAGACAGAGACAGACAAAAAGACAGCGAGAAATCATACCCCGGGGGATGGCCACACCGCAATCCCTTCTCCTCCATTCTCCTCTCAGAATCTTGGGCACACATGCATATGGTGCCAGGCGTGAGTTTGTTTGTTTGTTTGTTTTTAGACAGAGATTTTTGCTATAGGATACATGCACTTGCCAGAGAGACAGAGACATACAGAGACAGAAAGCAAAAAATCACACCCGAGGGGGATGGCCATGCAGCAATTCCTTCTCCTCCATTCTCCTCTCAGGATCCTGGGCGCGCACACATGCACACGCACCCAGTGTGTATTTTAAGCGGCTAGTTCAGGACTCAAACCAAGGTCAACTACATGGGAGTCTAGTGATATAACCATGACACCATCTGCTGGTCCCCTGGCTTGAGTTTTAAGTCACCAGTCTGGGACTTGAAGCACAGGTGACTTTGTGGGAGCCCAGCGACATAACTATTAGGCCATCTGCTGTTCCCAAATAAATAATTCTTAAAAAAAAAAAGAATTATAGATTTTAAATTCTTGAACTTTCCCAAGTTGCATAATATTTGACAGTTTACAAAAAGCACTTACACACAAAAATATTTTCTAATCCTTTAACTTTCCTTCTAAGGTATTATCTTCATTATATACCATGAACATATTGGACTATATTCTATTGTGTTACTGTACACATCATATAAGGAATATGAGTCTCAGGGTACTTCAGCACCTGACCCAAGGTTACAGCCCTAGTCAGGGGGAAAACCAGGATTCACATCTCCAGTGTTCACGGGTCATTCAGTTATCCAATCAACAGATCTTCGTTAGGTCCCTTCCATGAACAGGGCCTTTGCTAAGCAGGAGGCCTAGAGCCATAGATCAGTAGACGTGATCTTGCCTGTGTGCGGCTGAGGCAGCCCAGACACAGAAGAATGCGTCATCAAATGCAGTCATCCTGTCCGGCTACAACATCCAGAAGGAGTCAACTCTGCACTTGGTCTTGTGCTTGAGGGGAGGCGTCTGAGTTTCCTCCTTTCAAAAACTTTTAACAAATTTCGTTGCACCTTTCAATAAAGCTGTTGCATTAAAAAAAAATAGAAAAGGGAGAAAGAAAAGGAAGGAAGGAAGGAAGGAAGGAAGGGAGAGGAGCAGTTGCAGTTAAGCCATCATCATGCAGGTAGGGCTTTAAACCAAGTGGAAAAGCCTCCAACTTAAAGATCAGTGCAATGGATTGCATCAACTTGAAAACATTTAGAATGACTAAAAACAGCTACAGTTCCATTTTTAAAAGAATTATTGAATTTAATTAAGTAATTAATTTTAATCTGACAAGAGAGGGACAGAGCGAGAGAGATGGAAAGTGAGAAAGCAAGCAATCAGGTCCAGGATTTGAACCGTGTTCGACCATATGGGAGTCCAGCGCCCTTAGCCACCATGCCACTTGCTGGGCCCAACAGCTACAGTTTTAAAAGATAATCAGTGAGAAGGTATCTGCCACATATGTAAAAATAATACATATCCAAAACATTCGGTGAATTCCTACACATCAATAGAAAGGCACAATCATCCGAAAATGGGCGAAGGATATGAGAAACGTGAGTAAACAGATGAAAAGACACTCAACATGAAAAGATGTTAAACTTTGCTACACATCACAAAAATGAGAATTAAACAAAATAAACTAGGTATGTCATTCTAACCCTCCATACTGGGAAAATTATGATATTGCTACAACCTAATGTTAGGCAGCTGGGCGGGGCAGATACGGAAACTCTTACAAGCTACTCACAGGAGTATAACTTGGTAAAACCACTTAGGAAGGCATGGATCTAGTAAAAATGTACATATTCTGTGACCTGCCAATTCCATAAGGCAATATATACCCTAGGGAAAAAATACACATGCACACGTAAGGTGTGCGTGTGCAAAGATTGTCAATGAAGCCTTGTTTGCAATGGCAAAGTCTGGAAATAACCTAAATACCCATGAGCTAGAAATGGAGAGCTGCTTGGCAGTATTTGCATGCAACAGAATACATGTAACACTCTTTAAAATACTTTTCTAAATACCCTTGGGTGATAAAAATCGCACAGAATAAGTGCCTTGTACTGTTCTTACATATATATTTTTTCTTTTCTTTTTTTTTTTTTAATAAAAAAGTACTATGGATATTTCCTTTGGATGTATTCAACAGTCACAGTTTCTGTGTAAACTGATTGATAACCATGTTTAGCTCTTGGGAGAAGAGAGGGCCAGGATTAGGGGTCAGAGAGGATTCATGGGGAAATCCGTGCTTAAAAATAATAGATATTGGGACCAGCAGACGGTGTAATGGTTACATCTCGGGACTCCCATATAGTCTACCATGGTTTGAGTCCCACACCAGGTGGCTTAAAACACCGCAGGGCACGTGTGTGTGCATGCATGCCCAAAATCCCAGGAGAAAAATGGAGGAGAAGGAATTGTGGCGTGGCCATTCCCCCTTGGGGATGATTTCTTGCTTTCTATCTCTCTGTCTCTCTCTGTCCTCTGATGAGTGCTCTTGCCCTATCACAAAAATCTCTCAAAAAATGATAGCTATTAAGTATATTATGACACAAAGGAAAATGTATCCATCCAGTTGCCCAAGGCAACATGAGTTTCCACATAGGCTTTTTGAGGCACTAATAAAAAAGTGAATGTCTGTTGGAAAATCCTTGCTACAATGTTGCCTCATGTTAGGCAGCTGGAGTCCCTTGGAGACAACAGATTTTCTAAAGGTTCTTGCTGGTGGTAGTCTAGTATTTTTAACCAATAAATTTTAACACCTTAGAATTTATCCTATGAGAAAACTGGGGAAAAAAATTAAGTAATAAACTTGCAAATATCTACCCCCGTTTCTTAATTAATACCTAAATATAACAGCATCTAAAGGCCAACTCTGTCTGTACTAATTCTACATTGTCATGACAACCCCAGCAAAAGCCTGGAAGTGGATTGGGGTGCATGCACTGTGGATTCTGAAGGTGCATTAGAGAGGTGCTCTATGAGTCCCCAAACCTCACAACTGATTCAGGTATAAAAAAAAAATTTTTTTTTTAAATCCTGGAAACCTTCATTTCCAGGATTCACTGGAAGTGAGCCCCCAAATTTTTTTTCTTTAATTTTAAAATTAAAAACTTCTCAAACAAACCACCCAAGGAAAATAGAACCTTTGGGTGTTCTGTTGCTGCTGCTGTTTTAATTAGCAGGGGAACTCTCCATTCCTTTTTGCACAGAACAATGAAGAATTTTTTTTCATCATACATACCCAGCCTCCGTTTTGCCTTATCCACTCTCCCGTGTGATTCACTATAAATTCCGCAACAAAATAGGAAATGTCTTTGTAAGTGTCCACATCCGGAGCAATCCGCTCTCGTAGAACTTTCTTGATGAGGATACCTCCAAATGCAAATATGGTCACAATCCTTCCCCAGTTAATGATCCCATCTTCAAATTCTTTTTCCATCACTTGGTTGAATATCGTCCTGGCGTCCTCTATGGACACAACATCAAAATTGTCCAAGCATGGCTTCAGATTCTTTTCAACTTCTTTCTGGACCGAGAAAGCCACGTTTTGGAGCACTCTGGACGTTTTACTGGACCCCGACGTGGGCTGCGATAGCTCCAGGACATAGCGCAGGTAGTCCTGGGCCAGTGTGTAGATGTATCTGAACTCGCAGTCGCTCATCTTCCACCCGACGGCGAGCAGAGCCTCAGCTGCTTCCCCTGGAAGTTGTAAAGGCTGTCTGAAGCAGTGCTCACGGAGCCTGGCAGGGTCATGACACATGACGCTATCTGGAGACCAGTGGAATTTCTGTTTGCATCATCTTATATCCTTCCCCCTAGTCAGTTTCGTGCGTAGGCAGTGTGTGAAAGAGAAAGTTTAAAATGTGAAAGAGGGAAATGTTTCGAAGAGAGGCCACTTCCTCATCCTGTGAGTAAGGCGTCTTTACAAGTCCTAAGTGCAAGGATGCAGAGAAATTAGGATCCTAGTCCGTCGCTGGTGGGAATGCTGAAATGGTGCAACCCCTATAAGGTCAGCAGTTCAAAGAGTTAAATACAGACTCACCAAAGGAGCCAGCAATTCCATTTATTGGTGTATAGCCAAAGGAATTTCTTCTTCTTTTTTTTTTTTGGGGGGGGTGGTGAAGGGGAGAGGAGGCTTTTTACTATAGGGCACGTGTGCTCACCAGAGAGAGAGAGAGACAGAAAGTGAGAAATCACCCCCTGGGGGGATGGCCACGCCGCAATCCCCTCTGGACTTCCACAGGCTTATGGCAGTTCAAGTCCCAGACCTGGTGGCCTGAAAACCATGTGAGGTGCAGGTGCGTGCATGCCTAGAACCCTAGAGAATGAAGGAGAGGGCTTTGGGGCGTGGCCACCGCCCCCGTGGGGTGATTTCTCACTTTCCCTCTCTCTGTCTCTCTTTCTGGCAAGCACACGTGCCCTATGGCAAAAACCTAAAAAATAAAAAGTCTTCGTGCCCAGCTTGTGTCCTGCCATTTATGGCAGCTGGATCCCATATGGGCAGCTTCATGCTTCAAATCCTGGAGAAACCAGCTAGATGTGCGAGCGCGTGTGCCCAAAATACCAGAAGGAGGGGAAAATGGAAGAAAGGGATTATAGCATGGCCATTCCCCTGGGGTGGTTTTGAGCTTCAACTCTCCCCCTGGCTCTCCTCTGTTTCTCTCTCCCTCTCTGTCTCTCTCTGGTAAGCACATGTACCTTCTGGCAAAAATTTTAAAACAAATAAAAAGGAAAAAAGTCTTACCTGCGGCCCTGGGAGTAAGCCAGATTAAAGAAAACTCGGAATGGAGGAAAGCCTGAACCACCGGAAACAAGGGCCTCTCAAGGGTGTCTCGGCAGTAGCAGCCCGGATACTTTGGTACCTGCGTAAGGATGATACGAGGAGGGAAGAAGGAGGCATCTCCGTTGCTTTTCACCACCCATTTATGCTAAAATGTCTCATAGAAGACGAAGCCCTGCTTTGAGCTGACTTCATTTATATTCTTAAGTCTGATAAATCATGCAATGTATCGATCAGAAATTGCAAGACCACAATAACACTGTATTTCGGGGCAGAGGACCTTAACACAGTGATAGCCACAACTCTTTTCTTACTGTGGATCCTGGATCTGTGCTTAATTTTGAAAATAAGGCAACACAGGGGCCAGCAGATGGCATAGTGGTTGTGTTGCTGGACTCCCACACGACTGACCGCAGTTCAAGTCCTAGACCTGGTCGCTTGAAAATCATGCCGAGTATGTGCACGTGCGTGCCCAAGATCCCGGGAGGAGAATGGAGGAGAAGGGATGGTGGCGTGGCCATCCCTCCTGGGAGGTGATTTCTCACTTTCCCTCTCACTGTCTCTGTCTCTGGCGAGCACACGTGCCCTAAGGGAAATAACTCTAAAAAATAAATAATAAGGTAACTCCTATTGACCTCACGAGGTCGAGGTGAAGTTAGAAGGGAGGGCCAGTGTGAAGTGCCTGTCACCACACCTGGTTACACCTAGGTGCCGAATCAATGCTAGCTCCCATTGCTCCTCGGTGGACTGAGAAGGAACGTGCCTCCCAGTCATCTCTTTACCCAGCGAGGGTATGGATTCCTGAGTGCACAGCCTGCAGCGAAATGCAACTCCGACATTTCCTCAAGCTTTGGCAGCAGTTCGGAGGCGAGGCTGGCACAGGTGTGAAACGAATGTCTAAAAGGAGCATTGGACGTTTGGGGGTGGATTTCGAATCTCCTTACTCCCATACATGGCCGTTAAGGCACCCGCCCCACCCCCAGGGGACGCGGGCCACCATCCTCCTGTCTCATCGCTGCCAGCACCACAGCCTGCACGGCTAGCGGGCAAGAGCCGTGGGTGGGGCAGAGATGATTCCTGGCCCTTGGAGAAACTGGACTCACTTTTTCTTTTCCCGTCCACGGAAGGAGTGACTTTGATGCTGTATCGGTGTTGACGAACAGCTGCCGATAGGAAACGAAGATTCAAGTATAACATGTCTTCCTGAACTGTCCTCCTAGGGTTAAGAAACAAGGGACAAGTGCCACTGAGGATGCTATAAATGGGGACTTGTGGCCGCCATGAAAACGCACCAGTTAGACCCAAGGCAGGAGTGCAGTCAACTCAGGCTGCGGGGCTTTGAAACCACTCGACTTTGTACGAGGAGGCTATGCTTCCCAGGGGCCGCTCCCAGCCTAAGAGCCACCGTTTCATCATAAATCATCCTGAAAGCTTAGTGGCTTCAGACGGTCAGCACATACTTCGCTCATGCGCCTGAAACATGGGCGGGACTCAGTGGAGAAGAGCGGGCCCACTGCACCATCCAGGGTCTAGCTGGAACTGCTCAGCCGCTGGAGCCATCCTGCCCTGCTCCAAGCAGGAAACAGCAATGGCGGACCAAGGGTCAATCCAACAGCGAAGAATCCTGAACCACCCTAGCTGATGAGCTAACCAGAGCAATGCAAGCTCCCCTACACGGTGCGTGACTCCGGGCACAGACTACTGAGGTCAACTTCTCTTTTCTCAAAGGCGGAACCTCAAGTTTGCTGGGCTTTTGGCTGCTTCCGAGGAGGTGGCCGAGGAGAACCCCCACCCTTGGTTTGCTCTTTCACTCTTCTGAGCTAATTATGACTGCCACCCTGACGACTTCCCTATTCCAAGGCTCTGCCAGGGCAGCTTCTCCGTGGTGAAGAATGATCTTCTTAGTGACATGAGTGTAACATAAAGGGGAGGGGAGAATATGCACAAGAAGCCACCCACAAACTCCCCCATTATCTCCCTTGGTGGGGCCAAACCTTGATGGTCAGAAAACACGATGGAGGCAGGTCCACTTCTCAGCCTGCTGCACACCCCGTCAAGGAAAGGCAGAGACCCAATGTAATGAGGCTTCTAGTGGGAGCTTGGTTTCTGTCTGCAGACACTAATTTCCAGGAATTCCTATGAGCAAGGTATGCAAGCAGGATTCCTCCCCCCCAATTTTCCTGTCGTGTTGGGGAGCGAGGTTTAAGGGGATATTGGAGAGAGCGGTTGTTGTGAACCGAGAGAGCTGAGCAGTAGGGAGGGAAGGAGGAAGGGTCAGGAAACCTGGCTAGTTGGAGAATGTCTTAACTAAGATTGCAGGGACCACAAAGGAGGTGAAAGGGGGAGGAAGACCCGGGGAAGCTAGAGTTATGGATGGTGCCTTGTAAAGTTCATGGTCTGAGTGCAACATGTAATAATGTCACTCATGGGGCCAGCGGATGGTGTAACGGCTACATCACTGGGCTCCCACATGGTCGACCACAGTTTGAGTCCTGGACCCAGTGGCTTGAAACTCATGCCAGGCGCATGTGCATGTATGCCCAAGATCCCAAGAGGAGAATGGAGGAGGGCATGTAACATGGCCACCACCACCACCACCCCTGCCCGGGGGAGTGATTTCTCATTTTCTATCTCTCTGCCTTTCTGGCGAGCATACATGCCCTGTAGCAAAAATCTCTCAGGAAAAAAGAGTCACTTGTTTGTCCTTCCTTGTCACCTCTTGCACACCTGTGCATGCAGGTGAGCGGTCAGAGCACACAGTCTCTGAATCTTACTCTAATGTCCATTGCTCCTCTCTTCGCCAGCTCCATCCAGGTCCCACAAGGACCCTTGCTTTGTGTGTGTGTACGAGCATACATGCCCTGTAGCAAAAATCTCTCAGGAAAAAAGAGTCACTTGTTTGTCCTTCCTTGTCACCTCTTGCACACCTGTGCATGCAGGTGAGCGGTCAGAGCACACAGTCTCTGAATCTTACTCTAATGTCCATTGCTCCTCTCTTCGCCAGCTCCATCCAGGTCCCACAAGGACCCTTGCTTTGTGTGTGTGTATGTGTGTGTGTGTGTGTGTGTGTGTGTGTGTGTAAAACCAGGCCCCTTCAATGTCTTTGTACAAATTAATAAATAATCCTTTTGATGACTACAGACATGTAAGACTGGCTATATTCAGAAACATTAGTCGTGATGGTTTTCCCGATTAGTGTATCATCTTCAAAAATGACAAGGAGTGGGAACCAGCAGTTAGTGTAATGGCTATGTCACTGGATTCCCACGTAGTCTACCGCGGTTCGCGTCCCGGACCCGGTGGCTTAAAACTTACGCTAGGCACGTGTGTGTGCGTGCCCAAGATCCCGAGAGGAGAATGGAGGAGAAGGGATTGTGGCGTGACCATCCCCCATCCCCTCTGGGGGGGGGGGATTTCTCACTTTCTGTCTCTATGTCTCTCTCTGTCTGGTGAGCGCACGC